CTTGTCTAAAAGGAGTAATTGTCCCTGGTAGAGTCCTCATTTACATGATTTTGTGGAAGTGTACACATGCGAGGCTACTGTCCCCATCTGCAATTATTACACACAAATTTACAAAGATTTTGCTGAAAATGATAACATGCATCACTATCCTATTTGCGTTTTTCTTTATTTTCAAAAATTTTTACAATGTGCATGAGTTGCATTTACAATCAGAAAAATGCTATGAAAAGACAACCTCATGCAAGGTGGTAAAAAAGTATAGTACATCATATCAGGGAGTAGGTCCACAGGGCTACAAATGCCTAATTCCCTCCATGTTTTCTCAGCCCAGGAACATTGAGAGTGTTTTCTCCTCTTCTTATTTTACAATAATTTTACAATTATTAGTTTCATCTGTACAAAATTATTTCCACACATAAGTATTGAGTTTGTAAAAGTTAGGCATATCATGGTAAGAAGACAGACAATGTTTATATATCTTAATATATCTTACTATATATCATCTAATGGGGTGTACAGACTGTGAACAGATGTTTGAACAGTGTGAAAAGTGTTATATAGAAAATATACTGAGTACACTGAAAGTATGCAATTGGGAGGGTCTAACTAAATAGGGGGAGTTTAAAAAGTTTCCTCAAAGATGCATCATTTAATCCAGAACATGAAGGATGAAAAGTGTGCCAGGCTAAGAATGCAGAATATGTGAAGCCCTGGCAGAGTAAAGCACAGCTATTCTAGATATTGAAGGAAGGACAGTATACCAAAAACTTAGTGTCACAAGAGTAAGTGGGAAGGGAAGCCTGGAAAGGTAAACCAGGACCAAGTAATGGGTGCTTAGATTTTATTCCAAGAACAAAAGAAAGCCATTGCAAGGCTGTAGGCAGAGAAATGAAACAATGCAAATATCATATGTTCAGTCTAGCTTCTTTTGTATTTCTACACAATTATCAGGAATATTATATGCTGGCTTATTTGTTTACTCTTAATATTGGTGATAGTGAAAATAACAGCAATTATACTTCTATATCTTTATATTGTCTTCTTTGATCATAACTGCAAGCTATTGAAATAGTTCTTATCATGCAGGGGGAGGGGGTGTGCAGAAATATGACTTACTCAAGATCCTACAGGTACTAAGTTGGTTGATCAGAGACTTGATACCAAGATAGTGCTCCACACCACTGCAAATCTCAAAATGAGGCCTTTAAAATTCATATTGTAATTTTAATAGTATAGCTCATTCAAATATATATAAATGATATAAAATGTTAAAGAGAGGCTGAGTAACATTAAGAATTAAAATTCATTTTACTGTACTGATCAGAAATTAAACTGCAAGAAATTAAGAAAGAATCATTTAGGGAACTATAGAAGGAAATTACAAAATTGAAAACCACAATTTCCCCATCTGTATTCCTTAAACCATGGACAGGAGAGAAGACTCAAATTAAGCAGTAAGAGGAAAAAGGAAAAATATGTTGAAGGGACTGATAACTGCATAATGTTTAAATAATAGTGACCATTTTAATTAATAACAAAATTATATAATTCATCATACATTGGAGAGTATTAAATTCCAGAAAAATCATCTTTTAAGTATTTTAGTGTTTTAAAATATCAGTGTATCATAGGTGAAATAATGATTCTTTTTCTTTCAATCATTCAAAATTTTTACTAAGAACCTACAATGTTCCAGTGACTGTAATAATCATGCAATAGGAGTGGAGCTATCAAGAAACACAGTTCAAACCTTTAGAAAAAATATTGAAAACTCTAAGGAACTGAGAAAAAATAGAAGTAGTCAGAGAAAAAAAAATGGAGGGAGTGGACCTAAAAACATTTTTCTCCCCACAGGCTTATTTCTAATTAAATCCTAAATACACCAAAAATTTTTTTTTAAATGCAGCATGAGCTACATTTGAAGTTTCTAAAAGTTGGTCAAGGACAAAGACATATGTTCCCTCATATCTTTTGCATTTTAATGAAGTGCTCAGTGTTAGTAGAAAGTTCTTCATAATTAAAGCTGACATCTTTAGAGGGGGGGATAGGAATAAACAGAGGGTATTTAAAAAACTATTCGAAATGGAAAACATGAAGAATTAGCATTCTTGGCAAATCAATAGACATAGTATTGAAGTGCTCAGTGTTAGTAGAAAGTTCTTCATAATTAAAGCTGACATCTTTAGAGGGGGGGTAGGAATAAACAGAGGGTATTTAAAAAACTATTCGAAATGGAAAACATGAAGAATTAGCATTCTTGGCAAATCAATAGACATAGTACTTAACTACATTTTAGAATATTAGTGATTTATTTGACAAAAATTTACTGAGAACTTAAAATGTGAATGTTTTGTAGAATCCAACAGTTAAGGTTCTCACAATCTCTAAAGAGTCATAATTTGCATATGTTGACACTTTAAAGAAGTGTATATTCAGATAAATGTAGGGAGGGTGTTATGTTATTCATGAATAGACCTATGCTAATTGTTTAACCAATGTGAGTCTACGGATTGAAAGTTACACTAGCTTAAGAGGATATAAGAAACACAACTATTCTGGGGTGGAAAAATATAACCCGTGTAATATAGCAAATATTCTAAAATGTAGGACTTCAAAATTACCTAGGAGTTGTGGAAATTAGGTTGGAAAAAGGTGCTCTAATATTAAAATTAAAGATTTCTGAAAATACAAAATTTACTTTCACACTTTGAGTTACAGTGAGACTAATCAACAATTAAAATACAAAGGAAATTTACATTCAGTATACTAAAAAAAAGCCCACTCTTACAAATACCAGTTAAATGCACAGAATTGAAACAGGATAGTCAAAGCAGTAAAAGATAACTTTCCACAAATTAACTGAAACAGGGTTAAGTAGACCCTTATGAATACTTAACTGAATTCAAAGCTATTCCCGAAACTGGGGGTTGCCTCACTAACCCTCTCCATCCCCTGAGTAAGAAAACCTACAGTAAGATGTACACATGTTGAAGGTGAGATTCACTGAGATCTTGAAGAAGGAGACAGACAAGATCACAGAGATAAAGGCTGAAATTAAAGTAAAAAAATAAAATGCAGAAGAAAATAAGTTAGATACATCTGAAACAGTGGATTAGACTTATTCCCAGTAGGAAACATGCGAGGGCCAGCTGCGGGTCGTGGGTGGGCAGCAGCGAGTAGGTGACCTGGGCGTTGGCGCCCGAGTCTCTGTCTGTGGCGCTGACGCTGCCGATGTGCAGGGCGGGGCTGTTGTTCTCGCGGACGAACAGGGTGTAGGAGGTTTGTGTGAAGGCGGGGGCGTTGTCGTTGACGTCGGACACCTGCACGGTTATGCTGTGCTCGGTTTTGAGCCTCGGTGTGCCCAAGTCGGTGACGGTGATGGTGACATTATACTCAGATCTGGTTTCCCGGTCCAGGGCTGTGTTTGTCACAAGAGCATAAAAATTCTCAACAGAGGGTTTGAGGAAGAAAGGAAGATCATCTTGGATGGAGCAAACCATCCTTCCGTTGTCTCCCGAGTCAGGATCTGAAACACTGAATACAGCAATTATGGTCTCCTGCAAGTTTTCCGAGATCTGATTGATAAGTGTGGATATAGTCAGTTCCGGAGGGTTGTCATTCAAATCCATCACTTGGATAAACAGCACACAACTTCCAGAAAGACCCCCACCATCTGTCGCCTGAATATTTACTGTGTAAGACTGAACGGATTCAAAATCCAGTTTCCGTTTTAAAAAGAGTTCTCCCGATTTTGCATTTATTCGAAACGTTTTGCGAATGTCTTCTGAGGCTTGGGAAAATACGTAAGATATTTGTCCATAGGCTGCAATGTCTAAATCTCTAGCAGAGACTGTGGCAACCTGGGATTCAACGGGGCTGTTCTCCGGGACCTGCACCTCATAGAGTAGTTTTGCAAACTCGGGGGCGTTGTCATTGATGTCCAAGACTTCAATGAGGATTAGGGCGGTGCCGGACCTGGGTGGAATCCCGCCATCCAGCGCCGTGAGGGTTAAACTGATCTCAGGCTGTTCCTCGCGATCCAGAGCCTTATCCAGCACCAGCCATGGTAATATTAAGCCATCGGGACTGTCTTGTAATTTAAGATGGAAGTAGAAATTGGGGCTGATTGTGTAATTTTGGAGACTGTTGCTTCCTACATCTAAGTCTTGGGCACGTTCTATTAGGAAAGTGGTTCCGGGGGTGATACTCTCTGAAATTTTCAATATTATTTCTTTGTCTAGGAAAACTGGGGAATGATCATTTATGTCCCTAATCCATAGTTCGGCCTGAAAAAATTGCAAGGGATTTTCCAATAACACCTGGAAAGGTAGCACACAGGGCTCTGTGGGGCCGCACAGCTCCTCCCGATCCAGTTTCTCATTTAACAACAAATCCCCGGTCTGCCTATCGAGCTGCAAATTCATTTTTTTCCCTTTGGAAATGACCCGGGCCCCCCGTACAGCTAGCTCATCTATCTCCAGCCCCAGGTCTTTTAACAAATTGGCCACAAAAGAGCCACTCTCTGTTTCCTCGGACACTGAATAGTGCATAGGCTCGGAAACAGCCTGAGCTATGCCCAGCAAAACAAAGAATATCAGGACTTGCCTTTGTTTCAGAACGTGCTCCTGTTCCTCTCCGGCCTCCATCGCCTTCTGGTCTCCTAACCAACCTGCTCCAGCTTGAGCTCACGTGGGCGCTGACTGTATTTCCCAAAATCTCGCAGATACTGGGATAAGAGGACAATCCTATGGCCTTGATTTCCCGGAGCGACCTCCTTAGAAAGCCTCCTCTTCCTGCTTGCTTCTTTATCTGAGTATCTGGGTACAGGAGCGTTGGCTGATCGCTCTGTTCCTTCTACTTCTAAGGCTGCAGCGCCACCCCGCGTCCTTTCCAAGCGTTTATTTTCTCCAAAAACATTAAGAAAATCCCAATACATTTTTTCAGATTGATGGCCACCTAAATTGAATATTTTCAGTAGTGTTTCCCAATGGACCGAAGTCTAACCTGCGTTTTAAAAGGCTTTTCATTGCATCTAAAACAACATGGGCAAGCATACACAAATCACTCCAGTTTTCTCACAGATCTCAGCGGCTCTTTTTAAACTGAAAAAAATCAACACCAGAAACTGGAAGGGAGTGACCTCAATCCTAAGATGAGGTAGAAAGAAATCTTTGGCTAGAAAGCTCCCAGGTTTTGCTCAGATCCTGGGCATGTGTGCATCTCAGTGGTGATTACATTACCATCCTCATACTCAAGTCCAACCGAAAAGTATAGAGACCCAGGAGAAGCACAAAATTCAAATGAGAAATTTCTTGTAGACACTGAAATATTCTCCTTACTCATATTTCTTTATTGCATTGCTCCCATTTCACGGTTCCTGAAATTTGATGTGTTTGAGCTACCCAAAAATCTCCAAGAACAGTTGGATAATTTATTCTGATGAATGTGTAAATGTCTTTATTTTCCTTTCTAACAGATAAGAGCATTTTTTATATAGCCTCAATCCAATGATCACATCTAGCAAAGTTAATAATTTCATAGTACCAAATATCCAGTAAATATTGAAATTTTCCCAATTATCTTTTTTAAAAATGTGTTTTAAGACATGATTTGTTAAATCCATTTCTAAACAAGGTATATATGTTGCTGTTTGTCATTAGGTTTTTAAAGTTTCTGTCTTGTGTTTTTAAAAATATTTAATAAAAAGAATAAGTTATCAAGCCACAAAAAGACATGGAGGAAACTTAAATGCATATTATTTAGTGAAAGAAGTCAAACTGAAAATGCTCCATACTGTATTATTCCAACTACATGACTGGTAAAAGCAAAACTATAGAGACATTAAAAGGATCAGTGGTTGCCAGGGGGAGGAGAGATGGAAAATATGAAGGTAAAATGGGGGATTTCTAGGGCAGCAAGACTTTTTGTTATTATATTGTAATGGTGAATACGTGACATTATCTATTTGTAAAAACCCATAGAACAGTAAAATATAGTGAACCCTTATGTAAACTATAGACTTTAGTGAATAATAAGGTATCAATATTGGTACATTAATTGTAACAAATGTACCACACTAATGCAAGATGTTATTAATGGGGGAAACTGTGAGTGGGAAAGAGAGGGTATATTGTAATTCTCTGTACTATCTGCTTAAATTTGTAAACCTAAAAATACTCTTTAAAAAATCCTATTAATTTAAAAATATTTGTTTTAAGAAAAACTTTACAGTATATAGAAAAGTTAAAAGAACTATACAATAAACACCATTCTATCTTCCATCCAAACTAAATAATTATTTATATTTTGCTATATTTATTCTCTTATTCTACACACACATATACCTCTTTTTTTGCTGACCCATTTGACAATAACTTGCAGACATCATGATACTTCACCTCTAAATATTCAGCAGACAACTCCAAAATATAAGGACATTATCCCACATAATCATAATGCTACTATTACACCTAAGAAAATTAACAATAATTCCATAATATTATTTAAAGTCAGTCCCTATTAAATATCACTAATTATCCTTCCCCAATATTGTTCAACTTTGATAAGAATTCACATTTACCACTTAGTTCCTTTTACACATGCACTTATTTTCTTAACTATTTGTTATAAGGAATATCTTGGAAACTTTGTTTTTTAACCAAGTTTCATGATTGCATTTGAATTTTACATCTATTTACTCTACAACAGTCCTGTAGACTGTTGGACACATCAAATTTTTTGAAGTGTCCAAATCAGTTGTCTTGTAGGATGTTTTATATTCTGGATTTGTTTGATTGTTTTTTCCATGGTGTCATTTTACCTGTTTTTCTATCTCATGTATTTCCAGAACACTCGAATGGATGATTTATTAAATGTAACAATGGCATAACTCCCTCTTTCCATTTCTCTCTCTCTCTCTACACACACACACACACACACACACACGCACACACACACACACGGGGACATCAAAAAGTTTGTGGAAAAATGGAATTAAAATATAAAAACATAAATTTTATTTCTCAAAATAAGCTCCATCAAGTTCAAGACACTTTTGTAAGTGATGATACCAGCCATTTAGTCCATCCCTAAAAAACTGAGGGTCCTGGGAATTTAACTATGTCACTGCAGGCTTTTTCACATTATTAACTGAAGAAAAATGACTTCCCTTTAAAGACTTAGAAACAAAAAGAAGTCAGAAGGAGCCAAATCAGGACTGTAAGGTGGATGCCTAAGGACTTCCCATTGAAACTCTCACAGAATTGCCTTTGCTTGGTGAGAAGAATGAACAGAAGTGTTCATAGTGGAGGACTCTCTGGTAAAGCTCTCCTGGTCATTTTTCTTCTAAAGCTTTGCCTAACATTCTCAAAATGCTTTCATAATAAACAGATGTTACCATTCTTTGCTCCTACAGAAATTCAACATTCAAAATGCTTTGAGCATCCCAAAAAACTGTTGCCATGACCTTTGCTCTTGACCCATCTGCTTTTGCTTTGACTGGACCACTTCTACCTCCTGGTAGTCATTACTCGGATTGTGCTTTGTCTTAAGGATTGCACTGGTAAAGCAATGTTTCATCTCCTGTTACAATTCTTTGAAGAAATGCTTCAGGATCTTGATCCGGCCTGTTTGAAATTTCCACTGAAAGCTCTCCCCTTGTCTGCAGCTGATCTGGGCACAACAGTTTTGGTACCCATCAAGAAGAAATTTAGCTCAACTGTGATTTTTCAGTCAGAATTGTGTAAGCTGAACCAATTTAGATATTTATGGTGTTGACTATTGTTTCTACTGTTAATTGTTGGTCCTCTTCAATCAGAGCAAGAACAACATTAACTTTTTCCTCACAAATTGTTGTATGTGATCTTCCACTGTGGACTTCATCTTCAAAGTCATCTCATCACTTTTTAAAATGTGTTATCCATTTGTAAACCACTAATTTAGGGGGGGGCATTGTCCCCACAAACATTTTTTTCTTAATTCCAGGATGGTTTGGGGCTCTATACACTTTTTATAGAGTATCCATGATTTCACTATTCTTCCACCCAAGCTTAACCATAAATTTGATGTTTGTTCTTGCTAGATCCTGAATTAGATCCTGTTCAGACATGTATAACAAGTTAGTATGAGTTTATCTGGTGCAAAACTTTTTTGAAATTATGTGTAGTTTTTTCATAATATGCATTTTCCATGAACTTTTGGAAGACCCCATGTGTGTATAAAGATATGTACATATACATACATATGTATGTATTTACATAATATACATGACCTTTCCCAAGAATCTCAGACATCTTCTTTCCCATGGCTAAAATAGGCTAAAACTTTTATCAGGTTTAGGTAATCTGGTAGATGATTGCATTTTTACTAAAACCATAATTGAAACTTCACTGTAAAAAGAAAATATGGCTAATTGTTAACTACTAAGTACATTACAGAAAATTAATAAATAATGAAGAAATCCAAAGATGTAAAGATAGCAAAGAATATATAGGGAGAGAAAGAAACCTGAGAATCTGACTGCAAAACACAAAGCATAACTAATCAATTTAGATGTGCTGAAGAAATATAAGTAAATAGTGCTTGAAAATGAGAAAATAAAATAACGAATATGTCTCACCACATTGGGGCACTAATTTGAACACATGCCTTGAAAAGAAGGAGGCAGACAAGATAGCAAAAGAATACAGAGAAAATAGCAATGAAAAAGTAGATGCTAAGTGACAAATCTGAACCTTTCCCTGAGGCCTGTCAAGATATGACCGGGAGAGCTAAAAGAAACAACTGACCAGCAGCAAGTGTAGTATGAACATGGACATAGTGGCATCTCAGTGTCCTTGGCCATAACTTTAAGTCTATGATTGGATAGATTACTATCACTCAGAAACCTGTTTGTGTATACTTTCCTGTCTTGGATTTACATGCTAAACAGACTGAGACTCAAGTCCTTGAGTAGCTGATAGGACACAAAGACCTTCCAGATATAGTCTCTTTCTAATGCCACCATCTTGAACTTTATATATTCCTTCCTGCATCTACATGAAGGATGAATTGCCATTGCCTTCAAACACTATCACCCACACTAACACTATGCAGCTTAGCTCAGTGGAGCTGCTGTTTGTTTACCTCATGTAGACCTTGACACTTAAGGGCCTCACAATTCATGATGCCAGAGAGAACGAGTTCTTTGTGTTCATTTTGATGGATTGGTGCATATACTGGGACATCAGCAGTGAGCAGGATACCTGGCCATTTTTCTAAGTTCCTCACAATTCATGATGCCAGAGAGAACGAGTTCTTTGTGTTCATTTTGATGGATTGGTGCAAATACTGGGACATCAGCAGTGAGCAGGATACCTGGCCATTTTTCTAAGTCTCTGTCTATGGCAGTATGCTGCTAAAGTGCATGCACTTTGAGGCTGTGTTCTCATGCTTGATAAGTGTAAAGGCAGTTTGGTGAAAATAGACATAGTTATATTATATTTAATTTCCACCTTGGGGAAACTCCAGATCTCTGGCAGTGATAATGGAATTTATACTTGTCTCTTCATTGTCTACCTCTTGAAGCTTTTAGGGTGAAGGGAAGGAGGTATTATGAAAACAAAGCATGTGTTTTTTCTGTGCTCTGGATCTGAAACATGGAAAACAG